AAGATTTCATTTCAAATATTTTTGGTCATTGGTAAAGTAGAAAATCAGAAAGAAAAAAAAAATATACTTGGCAGTGAGTTGGATTGGCTGTAACAGTGAGCTCAAACATAGCAACCATGAGAATGACACAGATTGGGCAAATGTTTCATTCTGCTATATGAGTCAGAACCAACTCAGTGGCACTTAGTAACAATAATGGTCTTCATATCTTAAAATTTTAGACTGCAATTGAGTCTTTAAGTCAAGATACCTTTTTTGTAATTGTTATTTTTATGTGCTGTTGAGTCACTTGAGACTCTTAGCGACTGTATGTACAACTCTGAACCCCGCTCTATCCTGTGCCAACATCTACCCCCATTACCCCAGTCACTGAGTCAGTCTCTCTCACTGTCCTTTCACCCTCCCAAGCATGATGTCCCTCTCCAAACACTGACTCCTCCTTGCAAGATGCCCAGAGAATGTCAGATGAAGCTTCAGAATCCTTGCCTCCAAGAAGCAGCCTGGTTTCACCCTCTCCAGAACAAATCTATTTGTTCTTCTAGCAATCTGTGGTATATTCAATACTCTTCTCCAATACCACACCTCAAAGCCATCGATTCTTCTTCTCTCATTCCTAGTCACTGTCCACCTTTCTGATGTACAGCCAGTAACTGCGAAGACCATGGCCTGATTAGGTGCACTTTAGTCTACAGACTGACTTCATTCCTCTTAAGTACTCTGGAGAGGTCCCTGCCAGCAGACTTTCCCCAAAGCAATTCATCTTTTGATTTCCTGGCTGCTGGTACAAAGAGTGTTGGTTATGTAATTAGCAGTTCTTTTACCATTTATTCTGTTTTGGGTTTTTTTTTTCTTTTTTTTTTTTTTTCATTAAGCCAGAATTAAAATGAAAAATAACAAAAACAAAAGAACTGGTTCAGAGGATGTTATATTTTAAGTTTGGGAGAATTCAAGACTCCTATTACATCCATTATAGATTCCCTGTTTATATTTGGTGGATACACTGTCCTTCAGTTAAAGAAAGGGGTCTCTGATTGGGCTCTGAACTCAGAGGGCATGTTCTGGTCTTGCCTTTCTCTACACATCAAGGAGAATGTGTGTGACAGAGACATAACCTCTGTGAGCCATTCCCTCTTCTTTTATGCTATGATCCAGGAACTTAAGACTTCAGGATATCTTGTCCGTGTGCCCCTAGCCCACTTTCTGGCCAGGGTGAGTCTCTTACTTGTATCTGCCTTCCCAAAGGCAGGCATATTCAACCCTAAACTTGAATTGTGGCCAAGAAATAAATTCTGGGAGATACATACATATCTTGACAGTTCACTAGAGAGTCTCATGATGCAGGATGCAATTGAAGCTGGAAGGAAGAAGGACAGCACAGTGTAGGGTCAGGGGTCTTTGCTCCTTTTGCCCCCATAATCAATGTCAAACTCTAAGGAGCTTGGGAATTCATTTCAACCTGACTTTGATAGAGTTTATTTCAGTGATACATTTGTCATGGTGGTGGTTGTGTGCCATTGAGTCAGAACTGACTCATAGCTGACCCCCCAGTAAGTTTTCAGAGACAGTAAATCGTCCAGGAGGAGATAACTCATTCTCCTGCTGAGCAGCTGGTGGATTTGAACCATGTGCCTTTGAGATTGAGGTAGAGAAAGTATACTTGGCAGTTTGCCAGCTAGATTTTTAACTTTTAAATATTTAGACCTATGATGTGTGTGTCATTTGTACTTTTGTTCTGAGCCCTGCAGGCAATAGGAATGGATGGCAACCTAAGTAAAATAAACACTGCTGAGATTTTTTTAATGGGGATGAGGTTTGTTCAAGACTGTTTGGAGCCCTTAATAGGATCAAATAGGAGGAGGTTAAAAATGTATGCATTTTACAGTATTGTTTTGGAAGTCTTAGCAATAGCAATAAGACAAGAGAAGGGAATAAAAGGTATCCAAATAGGCAACGAGGAGGTAAAATTATCCCTCTATGCTGATGACATGATAGTATACTTAGAAAACCCTAAAGACTCAGCAAGAAAACTATTGGACATAGTTGACCAATTCAGCAAAGTAGCAGGATATAGGATCAACGTACAAAAATCAGTTGGATTTCTCTACAGCGACAAAAAGAATACAGAGCCAGAACTAAGAGAAACAATACCTTTCACAATAGCTAATCACAAGATTAAATACTTGGGAATAAATTTAACCAGAAGTACAAAGGACCTTTTCCAAGAAAATTACAAAACATTACTACAAGAAACAAAAAGAGATCTTGAAAAGTGGAAGAATATCCCTTGCTCATGGATAGGAAGACTCAATGTTGTGAAAATGGCAATACTACCAAAAGCAATTTACACATTTAATGCAATCCCAATACAAATACCAAACCCATTCTTCAATGAGATGGAAAAGGCAATCTCCAATTTCGTATGGAATGGAAAAAAGCCCCGAATAAGCAAAGCACTCCTTAAGAATAGAAGAACAGTAGGAGGTATCTCACTCCCTGATTTCAAATCCTACTACACTGCCGTAGTGGTCAAGACAGCATAGTACTGGTACAATGACAGACACATAGATCAATGGAATCGAATTGAGAATCCAGAGATCAACCCATCTATCTATGGTCAACTGATTTTTGACAAGGAGATGAAATCAGTGAAGTGGGGAAACGACAGCCTTTTTAACAAATGGTGTTGGCAATATTGGAAAAATATCTGCAAAAGACTCAAGCAAGACCCACACCTCACTCCATACACAAAAACCAACTCAAGGTGGATCATGGACCTAGGACTAAAACCAAGGACTATAAACTTCATTACAGAAAAGCTAGGAACAACACTAGAAGTCCTAATCCACAACATAAACAGTCTTCCCAGTATCCTGGAAAACCTACAACCAGGAGAAGATAACATAGATGAATGGGATCTTCTAAGACTCAAATCCCTATGCACATCCAAAAACTTCTCCAGTAGGGTAAAAAGGGAAGCCACTGACTGGGAAAAAGTATTCGGTAATAACATATCAGATAAGGGACTTATATCCAGAATTTATGAAATACTTGAGCACCACAACAAGATAAAGTCAAATTTGTGTCTTCTAGGTTGCAACACCCCCATGATACATCTTCAAGGATATGAACATGTACGGCCAAGCACAATCAATAAGAGTGCATCTAAATTCCAAAATCAATCTCCATAATAGTCTATGTGTTTCCTACTGCCAAAGGGGCCCTTTAGAGTAGTGAGAGAAGATCTTCACCCTGAAACCCACAGCGTCCCTTTTCAGCAGGAAGTAGCTAAGAGAATACGCCATCCCCTTTTCCTTATGAATCAGGGTGAAGTCTCTCTCAGGGAGGAGTGATAGGGAATGGCAAAGGACACACCGACAAAGAAGATTAATCAGAACTGACTTTGACAAGCACTGTGGCAATTGGACAATTAAAGCAGACATTCGGATGGTGGGGAAGAAGAACAAACTGGGGAGGAGGGTAGAGAGAATGGTGCGGCAATGAAGGAGTGAAAGCCCAGAATCCCTGTGAATGTTCATTGAAACTAATAAAATTTAATAATAATTAAAAAAAATAAAAAAATTTAAAACAATGTATGCATTTTGATGATCAGAAAGGAAAAGGTTAACTAATTTACTTTGGCCTGTATTTGGTTATCTTTGATACTGGAAAATTATTACCTCTTTGAAAAAGTGAAAAATTATTTGCAGGTTCTTTCCTTTGAGCTATTTGTCATGCTAAATGAGTAAAACTCTAAAACTGAAATTTTCCCTTAAAGCATAGTTTCAGAACTATTATCAGGCATTGTCCTGGTATTAAATTTCTTTCTGTGCAAGAACTTGGCATGGTGAGGGCTCGCCGTAGTGGAAGGCCTCCCAGTCTCATAAGCAGAGCTAGTATTATTACTAGAGTGATCTGTAATTCTTTGATGTAATAAACATTTACCTTTAGAGAAGTGTTAGTGTTCTCTCTGCAACTTTGCTGTTTATTTAAGATTTAAAATGTTAAAATAATATCTTTTTAAAATGTTTATATATGAATTTGTCAAAGCTAATAAATTTGGGTACCTTTTTATTGATGCCCTTAACTCTTACTATATGTGCTCTGATATAACAGGCAAAGAGTAATATGCATAAAATTATTTTACTGAAAATAAGGAAGTATGTGTAACATACTATTTACAGAGCATTCAGAAGGCTTAAGAAATTTTGTTTTAAGTTTAAAAGCAATATATGGCATTGAAGCCGATGAGGGAGAGAATAGTTTAAAATTAATATATTTTAGGGCATTATGATTATCATAAGAGTCCGGAATGAGGGTTGCAGAGTGGCGTATACTTGGGGTGGGGGAGGGGATTGTGTACAAATGAAGGAGTTTTTCTTTTGCTTTTCAAGGAGAGGAGCGAACTGGGGGTGGGGTGGGGGGGTGTGGGCGAGGAGAAAAGTGCAACAATGAATGAATGGAATTCCAAAATCTCTGTACATGTTCAT